CGAATTCGTGTTAGGACCACACTACAATCGCACGCTGGCGAACAATTCCTGCGGTATGGTATGTGGTCTTGCTTAGAAATGAGTAAATGTACATATATGTGCGTATGGTTATATGTGAGTGTGTAGTAAGCGAACTTGTTAATCCTTCCACAACTGTTCATTATGTAGACATTTTTGGTCAAAAAGTAGGCTGGAATTTTTGAGTACCTCAACAAAAGAGGTTAGTAGTGTTGCTGCATTGATTTATGTCGTATACTTTTGGAATTTTAAGCTGGAAAATTGAATGAGAATCACGTTGTGAGTGAGAATCATCCAGTTTAAAGCAATAAATTCTTGAAGGCACTTTAGATAGTAAGCGAGTCTAGATAAATTTTACGTTATAAGTTGCGAAAGCAAATGTTTCTATTGAAAAAACAGTAAAACCTTTAAAAATAAATTGGTTTTTTTTTTTAATTTTTGCACTTTGCACAAAATTTTAAAACTGTTTAAGAATTTGAAAAAATTTTCTCCTTCACTGTATATCAATATCCCAACATATTGACTATTTATTAGCCGCATGCTTGAAAATTGATTTTATCACTAATAAAAATAACAATAATATTTAAAAAAATTAAAAAAAAAAATTTTTTTCAGTAGCGCTTCTTTCAATACAAATATAATTTATTTTAATTTTTTTTTTTCATTTTTTTTTTTTGACATATTTTATTTATTTTTTTCTTCTTTTATTTGATTTTATTTTTTTTATTTTGGTATATTTTATATTATTTTATTTTATTCTTTTTTGTGTTAGTTTCATTAATTTATTTAACTTAATATTTATATATTGTTTTTTTTTTTTAATATTTGATTTGAATTCCTATCAAACAGTATCTTTTTTTACATAATTAAATTTTTCATTCGCAAACACTCATCCATCACATGAAACATTTTCAGTTTCCTTTTTTCTGCATACACATTTAATTTCAATTTAATCTCACTTCTATGTACACGGAAATTCACTAAAATAATTGTGGCCAACAGTAAAATTTTCTTTACATTTTTTATGCATTTAACAATATTTTTGTAGCATGCCTTGAGGCGTAAAAGCGTTTTCATATGCAAATTATGGTACTCCGAATAAAGTTAAAATAACAAAATTCTGGAACAGCAATAAACAAACAAAATTTCTTAAATAAACATTTCAAACACATATTTTCACTTCTTTTATATAATACGTGTAGGCGAGATTATGGCAGGGGCCTGTGATGAAGCAAACAAAATTGAATGATGAACAACTTAAAAGAAATTTTTCAGTGAGTTTCAGCAGGTGGCTGCCATTTTAGCTTTCGGTAAAACCAGTAAATTTTAAAAGTAAAATTATGAGCTATCTCTTGATGGGAATGAGCATAGCAAAGATTACAGAACATAAAATTTGAGTTGAGAAGCTAAGATAGCATCATTTGTCACCCACCCACATACCTCTGGTAATTTTATTTTAGTTAAGTCTCTAATTGTACACAAGAAAGCTTTAGGAATGCTGATTTGCACCCCACTCAACTAGTTCGAAATTTCCATTTTTGTTTTCGTTTGCTATATTTTGCTTTGATTCATAGGTCATATTGGCCTCTGGTGTTTTGAAATTAACTTATCATAATCCATCATCGAAATCATCAGTGTTAGCCTGTGGCAAAGTATGGAAGAAGTTGTACTTGATGAATGTGGTTGACATGAAGGGAATATTCTTTGCACTTTTTCAAAATAAATCTTTTTTATATTAAAAAAGAACAATTTAATACCAGAAATGTAAATAAATGTGCGAGAACAGAAATAATTAAATAAATTCAGGGTCGATAAATTTTAAGATATAAATGGAACATAATTCTGGTTGGACAGTGGGAAGTGAAAGAAAATAATAAGTAAAATAGATAAAATAAACTAAAGCATAAAGTCTTTTATAAAGACTTTTCATAAAAACTCCCTTAGGATTTGTATACAAAAAATTTGATTAAAGTAATAAATTGAAAAAACATTTCAAAAGAATAATAAAAAGAAATTATGCTTTAAATAGCAGGGAATAGAGAAAAATTCACAAGCCTACACGTGCTTACATAATTCTTTCAAATATACATAGCATATCTTCTCAATTTACTGAAAAAAAATTTATTTTTTTTTTAATTTACTTGCAAAATAAATTTGTTTTTGTTGTAAAACTCCATATAATGATTTACTATGTTTGTTATATATATATACAATAGATCACACATACTTTCACACTAATAAAATATATTCATATATATTTATGACATATTGGCACTTATATCTACACATGAGTATATATATGTATAAAACTTTTACCTTACCTTTATATGTTTCAATTATTTATGTGTGCTTTTCTTTCCATATAAATTTTGTGTTATTAATTTAATTAATTAAAAATATTATATTTGCACTGTGTGCACGTTGTTGAAAAGTTTTTGCCGAACAAACTTTTTTCTTGTTTTTTAATTTATTAATTTTTCACATTAGTTCATTCTCTATAGATAATTCTTGTTTTTTTTTTTTTTTTGTTTGTTTCAATGTTTGTGTGTATTATAATTTTTTAGTGCTGCCATTTACAATGATGATGTTGTTTAACAATTACACAAAAAACGTTTTGTCTACATTTTTTTCTGGTCATGTTTGCTGTCGTTATGAAGATAATTAATTTTTCATTTATACAAAAATTTAATTGAAATACAGTTACAGTGTGTATGTATGTAACTGAAGCTTTAAATTTTAAAGTGTTTTAAAATATGAGGTTAAATAAAAAAGTATGAGAATAAATCAGATTATTTTTGAACAATTTCGGAACAGTTTTCATTTTTGAGAAAACTTAATGAAATCTTATAATATTTTTTTATTAAAAATAAATTAAATATAAATTAAAAATAAATATTCAACAAAAAATGCACAATAATTTTTTTTTTGGTATAAAATTTAACGCTTCCGCTATTTCAAAAACAAATTATTAACAAATTCCAATTTAAACATATGTGTGAATATATTAAGTAAGATTGAACTAATTGACTCTAGCAAGCGTGCCCTTTACACATTTACAAACCCGGGGTTCTCGGTCCGATTAACATCACATAAATAAAAATTTAAAAATAAATTAAATCCTTATAAATATTCACAAAATCGAACGCTAATTATATGCATTAAAAAATCTATTATAAAAAAATATAAAAATGAATACTCTTCGATTATGTTTATTGCATGAATTTGGCTCATTTTTCCATCAACTCCATCACGTGCGCTCATCATTCCAGCAAACACTTCCTTCAATTCTAGCTTAAGAAAGAAATTAAAATTCCAAGCCAAAAGTTTTTACCTGCCATTGAGCAGTACGGCAAGAAGCAGTTTGTAACAACCTCACATTCAAACACACTCCCACACACATGCATACATTCACACAGCTGCACCACTACCGCCGCCAGCGACGACTACTTACGCCAAACTCAACTTTGCGCAAAAACCGCAAATACTGTACACCGTGTGGAGGGAGAAGCGTAAAGCGTTGCAGGTGGCGAGCGAGAAGACGTACGCCACTGAACCGCAGAACCGCACAGATGAACGCCTTTCGCTAGCAGGCGTATGTTGTTGCTTTCGTTGTTGTTGATTTTGTTCTTGATGTTGGCGCTGCAACTGCAATTGACTGTACTGTCAGGTAACACAGCTATTTTTTGATGTTGTTGTTTTTTCCACTGGCTGCAGCTTGCGGTTGCTGGCAAACGCGTTGCCGTGGCAACAATGTCACTTGCACTACGCCAGCACATACATATAGCCAAACACACAAATGCTATACACGCATACATATAGGTATATATATATACATATGTTTGTATATATATATAATGTATGGCAGCATCATTAGCTGACACAAATGTATGTATGCATGTGCGTTCAACCTACGATTGTGGTTACCCATTTGCCACGTTGGTTATACTCCACCTTTGTTGTTGTTGTTGTTGTTGTTGTTGTTTTCACCGCCAAGGTTTTATTGCGTTGGAAATTAAAATGGAAAAGCGTCAAAGCCAACTGCCAATTGCATACACTCGAGCGCGCACACACACGCTGCAGCCGCATACGGCACTCACACACACACATATGTGTATGCATATACGTGAAAGTAGTGTATGCATGCGGTTATTAAAGCATTACGGGTAACTATTATGTAAAATTTATTTTTATTATTTTTCTTCCTTTTTTTTGTGATTCCATTTCATTTTCATTTTATTTTACACTTTTGTTTTATTCATTTTTTTATGCTTGACAGCAAATTACAAAATAATTAGCGACAGCCAGTAACGGTGGCGGAAAAAGCAATTTTTTAAATGCACCACCACCACCATCACCACAGCAATGAAGTGAAATGCGATTTTTAAATCATAGCGCAAGCGAACTTTAAATGATAAAAATTCGTGGTGAAAAAATAAATATTTTAAACTGTACGAAAACATTAAAACGAAAAAAGAGAAAACAACAGTTGTACATATGAGACTCATGTTCATATAAAAAAAAATACAAATAAATTTTAAAATGCATACCAAATCAATGAGAAATGATATATTGCCTCGAAAACTCCTACAACTTTAATTACCCACACCGCAGCGCGACACAAATAGGAATTATTCGTTACGTATGAGTACACAGCGTTTAACTATGGCACTATAGAATTTTAAAATATATGCGTAATAACAAATAAATAAATGGTTAAGCGATATCTCAAAAAAAAATATATATATATCATTTAAATATGTTTAATTGCTTTAAAATTATATTTTTGGGCATTCACTCGTTTATCAGTTTCCAATTAAACATTTTTTACCCATACATATATATATTTATGTTGCATATAAATATTTATATATGACACAAATACCTTTGCGAGTGCTAATTATATTTTCATTTATATTTTTTTCTCATTCAAACCGAATTTGCCAGTTAACTAACTTTTTTTTTAAATTCGCTCTGCATTTCAGGTTGTGCTTTCGTCAAATTTAGTTCGCAACAAGAGGCTCAATCAGCCATAACCAATTTACACGGAAGTCAAACTATGCCGGTGAGTGAAAAACAACTTGTCAAAGACAATATTTACGAATATTAAGTTTCTAAACTTTTTTTAACAAAAAAAAAATTGGAAGTGAAAATAAAACGAAAAAAATGAAATTATAAGTTAAATAAAAAAAAATGAAAAAATTAAAAAAAAAAATAAGAAATTAAAAGAATTGGCTTAAAATTAATTGAAACAAACAATTTAACAAAATTAAATTAAATTAAATAGCATATAATAAAAAATAATTAAAATAAAAATTAAATTAAACAAAATTTAATGAAGTGAGATCTGCCCCAGGCCCACCTCACGAAAGAAGAGGTTTCGGATGAAAGGCTAAGAAATTCTTTCTATTTAAGTCTAAGCAAATGTATGATTTTTTCGAAAAGATTAAACTCAGTTCCAATACATGGAAATAAGTTTCCCACCCAACAATATATCTTCTTCTTTTTCACTGGCGCAGACAAGTCTAACCCGATTACAGTAGAGCTGAGCAGCATTGCGCCATTCATTTCTTCCTTCCGTTGTTTGGCGCCCATTGGAAATGCCGTTATCTGTCTGGCCTCTCTAGCGGAGTGGAGGTATACCTCTTCTTCCACTTCCAGGCTGTGGAAACTGCATAGAAAACTGCATAATGCCGTAGTGTTCTTATTCAGGGCAGTCGCTGTTTTTTGATTACCTGATCTAATTCAATCTCGCCGTGAATATCGTGCAGGTCGTCATTCTATCGGCCATTAATCTTACGCAATTCCATTCTCCCGAAAACTCTTACCGCCGAATTGTCTGACGTTGGCAACGTGCATGCTTCCGCACCATATTGCAGGACGGGAAGAAATAGCGACTTGTAAAGTTTGGTCTTCGTTCGCCGAATGTGGACTTTACTTTTCAATTGCCTACTGGCAATTTTTCCACTTCCCAGAAAATCCTTTCTTAGCAGGTGCCGGCGATATGCGCAGCGCATACCCTCCCATCTTCAAGTTTATACGATCAGTTGTTTGGGCTGTGTTGATCCGTGTTGATCATTCAGTCATTTAAAACAAACACTATTATATACTGTATATATATATATAACTTGGAGCATATTAATCAAATACCTGATTGTGTGCTAAATGTAGTTTTGACGTAATTTAAAATTATTTTCAGCAATTCTTTCAGTTCTTCTTGGCCTAACATAGCTCTTTTTTACGTAGCTGTTTCACTGAACAGGGGCTTCCTAAGTTTAATTTCTAAAATAAATATTTGTTTGAAAAATTTACGAAATATTTTCAGCAGGAGCCCACTCCACATATTTTTGTACTATTTCAAGGATGTTCTACAAATTTGTAAGCAACACATATATATACTAGTGCACATAATATTCTCCTACAATCTAAACACCATTACCTATACATAGGCTTTACTTTGCACCCACACAAATGCTTGCGCAAACAACGTAAAACCTGCAAATTTACACAAAAATAACTGTCTAAATTGAATGCCGCGTCGATTTGATGTTGTCAAAAGAAGCAATTTACGTGCAAAATAACTCAAGTGTCATGCAAATTTTCATTTATTTTGGCAGCTGATATGGAAATTCCTAAAAAGAGAAAAGAAAATAAAACGAATATAAAGGAGAGAGATAAAAGGTGGAAACCTCCGAACGCCAACACATTAATGAACTGCATAGAAGTGGCGGCTGTTGTGAGGGCGCTGGAAAAAAATTTGTGAAAAATTTGGGGAAAAAATCAAAAAAGATAGCGTGAAAATTGCTAAAAAAAAAAAAAAAATAAATGCTTAAAAAATTTTAAATTCAGCAAAGTCTGCAAGCGCCAGTTTGTTGGTGGAGCTGTTAAAGATTACAAAACATCTTCCCCCTCTCACCTGCACACAGCGCAATTTCGCGCTTTTGTTGTCAATTGCTGTTGTGTTAGCAGCACAATGTTTTGCTGCTCTAAACCGCCAGCTGTTTTTGTTGTTGTTTTTATATGACTTTGCCTGTCATTTGTATTGTAATACCGTAGCTAAAGTTTTTCTGCTTGTTGTTGCTGTTGCTAGCGGTAATTTTTGTTTTGCAAATTTCAATTTAATTTGGTTGTTTGCTTATTTGCCACTTGCCACACGCCACAACTGTCCCTCTTTCCCTCCACCCAACCAAAAACTCTTACTGGAAAGCTCGCTTAGTTTCGTTATAACCGCTGCTCCTCCTCTCCCTCCACTCACTCTGCTCGCTCGCTCTCTCCCTCTTGCGGAAAGCATAGCCAAGTGCTCATTATGCCAACAGGCATTTCTACGAGTACTCTCGTGTAATGTTGTATTTTTTAGCTGTTGTTGTTGCTGCTGCTTGTTATAGCTGTTGTCATTGCTATTATTATTGCGCTGATTTAGGTGGAAACACGGGAAAAAAAAAAGAATTTGTAACTTTTCCCAGGTCGCTTATTGAATTGCGCGTTGTGGTGGAAATTCTGTCTCCTATTTCTTTCCCTCGCGCTCTTAATCTCTCTCTCTCTCTCTCTCTCTCTCTCCCTTGCTCTGTGGTTGTTATTGCGCGCATAATGAGATGTGCAAGTAATTTGGCTTTCAATTTATTTTCGTTGTTTATTTTACTTCTATTTTTTATTCACCTACCTCTTACCTCATGCCACATTCAACTGCTTTTTTTCCTTTTCGTCATGGCTTTTGTTGTTGCAAGGTGTGCTAGTAACATCCGCAGCATTCGTTGGCGTTTAATTGTTGAAAAATTTGTAAATTGCTATTTGTTATGCCGAAATTGATTTCGATTTGTTTATTCGTTTGTTTGTTGGACTCAGTTGGTTTGGTTGTTACCTCAAGCATCCTTTAGCGGGAGATGTAACTGTACCATTTACACAGGCAATGGGAATTTTCGAGCTGAGTTATCGTGGTGTGCGTGCGTATCTGTTTGTGACTACTTGAAAGTAGCTTTGAGCGGAAATTAAGGTTTACTTCAAATAAGTAAGTGAAAATAAATAAGTGGAAAGTTCGTGCGGCTCTAGGGATATGTGTGCGTGTGTGTGTGACAGTCGTAATTAAATTCGTAATAGCGCCTTCATGGCTACTTTTGTAAATGTTCGTAACACATTTTACTATATTTAATTTTTTCATTTCAAATATTCTGTGCATTTTTTATCATCAAATTTTTTCTACTCAAAAGTAACTCGGTAGCAAGTATAATGATTTAATTATATAAGGTAACCAGAATTTGTCTAAAAAAATTCTTTGAATAAATTCAGCCAAAGTTTTTTTCAGCTCAACAAATTTCAGAGTAATGTTTAATTCACAACTTTTCCACCCGAAATCGCTTTAAACAGGTTTTTAACATCTTTTAATTTTTAATGCTCGCTTTTCAAAATTATTACTGAGCCTACTAGAAATATAGAATCGGAAAATAACTATTACTATCTCTAAAAATAATATTGTCATACTTCAAAAGAAAACCCTTCGTTATTAAATTTTTTTTATTTATGTCATTTTTAATTTAAAAAAAGCGAATCTTCAAAAATTTTTAACATTTAATTTGAAGCAATAACAACTATTTTTGAAAAATAATTTAATTAATTCTATATTCCTTTACATACCGGCCGTACAGTTTGGCTAGGAATAGAGCTCTTCACCCTAGCACAACCATAACATTTTTTTGAAGAATAGAAATTTTTCAACAAAAAAGTTCAAAAAGAGGTATTCTACATTAATTATAATATGCATTCAATATATTACAAAATGTTTTCCATTATTTGAAAATTATCATTTTTTTATTCAAATGTAATTTTTTAATTAGTTTGCTAGTTTGGAAAAAATATTGTATTATTAAATGAAGTATTTTAACATAAAAAACTATTTTTATCCTCTGTTTTTGAATAATTTATACATAAATATATACATATATTTTAAATTTCTAAAAATTTTAATTTAATATTTAAGTAAATTTTGAATAGTTGATTTATATATCTTAATACGTTTTTTCTATTAGTAATATTTTTCAGTAAAGGTGTGTTGAATTATGAAAAGTTTTTTAAAAATTAAAATTTTTGTTCAACAAACTTTTTTGGAGCTTATTTTTTTTTTAAGGCTAGCGACTGCAGCAATGGAATTGAAGTTCTAGTAGCTGGAACCCAGCTCAAACTAAAATCTAATGTTTTAAGGCCTTATTCTTTGGATATCTCTCACTTCTTACGATTGCTTGAATCTATTACCCTTTCCCATCTCTCCCTTCACCAAAAAATACTTTACGATTCATAAAAATACCTTCCCTATACTTATTTCTCAAAAACAATTTCATAAATAAAATTTAAGAATCAACAACTTCAACCCTTTTTCCATTACGAAAATGCCTAAAAACACACTCAACGAGTATCAAGAAACAACAATCAAAAATAAAAAATAGACACCCAAAGACCGGAAATAAACGGAAGTAAGCCCATCATCAACGAAATCTTCGGCAAATCAACGTAAGCGAAGTGGAACATAATCAAAAACGATGAAAAACAGGCAAACTCGAGTAGGAGAAAGAACTCAAAATGAAAATAAAAAGTTAGTGCCTTAGATATTAGCAACAACGAAGAGTAGAAACTTAGATGTGCCACTTAATGCAAACCGAAGGCAAAACAAATTCTGCGCGAAAAAATCAAATGCTCAAAAAGGCAGTGAAATGGAAACAAAGAAAGTGCGTAGCTAGAGCAAGAGCATAAAAGTAGTAGGGGGAGAAGCAGTGCTAAGTACAAACGCCTTAAGCATTTCCGTGCGCAAAACAAATATAAAGACTTGAAAGAGTTGAAAGAACTCTCGAAATTTATTAAACAAAAAAATAGATATAAATATATGCAAAAGATAATATAAAATGGGGAAAGAGTAAAAAGTTTGAGCGCATAAAATTTAAAAATATAATAAAATAAAGAATGGAGAAAGTTGAAAAATTTGTGCGCTGAAATTGAAATCAGCGACAGCGGATATAACCCCGAAAACTAATATATGAATACAAGAAAAACCTAGTAAAGAATATAAAAATTTCCAGCGAA